GTGAGTGTGGATGGACAGTGAGCTGTGAGTGTGGATGGGGAGTGGGCTGTGAGTGTGGATGGGGAGTGGGCTGTGAGTGTGGATGGACAGTGGGCTGTGAGTGTGGATGGACAGTGAGCTGTGAGTGTGGATGGGGAGTGGGCTGTGAGTGTGGATGGGGAGTGGGCTGTGAGTGTGGATGGACAGTGGGCTGAGTGTGGATGGACAGTGGGCTGAGTGTGGATGGGGAGTTGGCTGTGAGTGTGGATGGGGAGTGGGCTGTGCGTGTGGATGGGGAGTGGGCTGTGAGTGTGGATGGGGAGTTGGCTGTGAGTGGGGACGGCGAGTGGACTGAGTGGGCCTGGGAATTGGCTGTCTCCCATTGCCAAGGCGCCCTCACCAGCTTCCAGGGTCTCTGGAGTCTCAGAATCCTGTGTGCCAGACCCCAGACTGCTGCCACTGCTGGTTCAGATTTATCCAGTGCCTTTTCTTTTTCTGGAAGCTCCAGGGCGCTTGCTGGAGTCTGGAAGATACAGGTCCTACAGGCAGTGGAGAGGGTGCCCAGGGCCCTGCCAGCCTCTGCGGGAGTCCGGCTTGAGCCCCTGGGTGGTTCTGAGGGTGGTGCCCAGGCATTGGGTTCATTAAAATGGGCACATGCTCTTCTCACCTCTTCAAGTGACTCTGTGCAAACACTCTCTCAGGGTCCTGTGTGTGTCACATTAAACAAACACCAGATAGATTCACCAGAGGACAGTATAAAAGTTATGGTTTTGTGTGTGTATGATGAGGAGCGTAGTAAGGAAGCAGAGGCCCACAGGTGTGGCAACCCCTGCACATTGGTATTAGAGTAGAACAAAGAAGCCATAGTGGAGAAGCGGGAACTGTTGCAGCAGGTCCACAGATGCTCGCTGTAGCCACTGCAGGATGCTTCCCTCCTCTCCACCAGGGGTTTCACCTCGGTTTCCAGGGGACTAACTGCTCTGCCGCACCTGTGGGGACTGAGGCGTTGTCTTGTGATCACCCTGTGCCCCACTCCCACTCTGACTTTGTCCCTGAACCTCGTGGGCCCCAGCCCTGATTGGGTCAGAGCTCCCACACTTGGCGCCCTCCCGCTGTGTGCTCCGGCCTGGGAGGGACTGCCCCTCATCTTCTGCACAGGGTCCTAAGAGGTCTCTCCCCTCAGGTCCCTTTCTGGGGTTATTCCTGTGCCAGGAGGAAAGTGGACATATGGATGGGTCCCTGCCTGGGCTGCCCTGTGGGGGACCGAGAGTGGTCCCTGTGAACTTGGAGTCAGCCATTGTCATGATGGCCAGGACAATGGTGGGGCCAGCAACTTCCAGGGTGTGGCTTGCCGATGCGCATGCCTGTCAAATGGGACCACACCGGGGGAGGGGGAGGTCAGGGGGTCAGTGGCTTCCTCACACCTTACAGGTATGAGGAAGGTACCAAGGTGGAACCTACCATCAGGGCCAGGGACCTACCATGACACCTCCCACCCACCTTAGGAGGCTGGGGCCAAGATGGAGGCCAGGGCCAGGATGACAGGTGGTTCCTGGGTGGGAGGGGCTAGCCATACTCAAGAAGGGAATGAGAACTCCCTAATCCCCCACTAAACCCGGTGGGGTGGGCTAGCAGACTGCCAAGACCAGCAGGCAGGGCAGCGTGGCCTCAGGCGGGAAGGGACTATGGCATGCTGCATCTCCCCACCACTATTTGCAGACAAGTCGCCCCGTTTAGTGGTGGCCAGTGAACAGGGTCAGGACTCTCCAGTCTGTTGAAACAGACGTGGTGGGAACTGGGCAGCGAGTACGGTGAATGGCAGTACCCCAAAATACGTCCACGGCTTAACGCCTAGAGTCTGTGAAGTGAGGTTTTCATAGATGGATCGAGGACCTGGAGGTTAGCCTAGATGCAGGCTGGGTCCTAACTCAAGGGCCAGTATCTACATGAGGAAAGCAGGAGGGCTCAGACAAAGTGACAATGACATCAGACAGCAGAGCCTGGAACAGAACCCTCTGCCCAACAGCCATTGAGAGCTGGGCACCAGGCGTGGGTTCTCCCTGGCCTTCCCATGGCCATAGGTTTCCAGACTCCATGGTGGGTGAGAAGAGGAACAGCTCTTCAAAGCTTCTGGTTCTAAGGCCAGGAAGAGGAAGCAGCTGGGGCTTAGAGCCAGGAAGAGGAAGTGGCTGGGAACTCATCTCATTGTGGCTAGGGCTCACCTCATTGCCAAGAAGAGGAAGCAGCTGGGGCTTACCTCATTGCCAGGAAGAGGAAGCAGCTGGGGCTCACCTCATTGCCAGGAAGAGGAAGCAGCTGGGGCTCACTTCATTGCCAGGAAGAGGAAGTGGCTGGGGCTCATCTTATAACCAGGAAGAAGTAGCAGCTGGACCTCATCTCATAATCCAAGAGGAAGCAGCTGGGGCTCACCTTATAACCAGGAAGAGGAAGCAGCTGGGACTCATCTCATAACCAGAAAGAGGAAGTGGCTGGGGCTCACCTCATTGCCAGGAAGAAGCAGCAGCTGGGGCTCACCTTATAACCAGGAAGAGGAAGTGGCTGGGGCTCATCTTATAACCAGGAAGAGGAAGTGGCTGGGGCTCACCTCATTGCCAGGAAGAGGAAGCAGCTGGGGCTCACCTCATTGCCAGGAAGAGGAAGTGGCTGGGGCTCACCTCATTGCCAGGAAGAGGAAGTGGCTGGGGCTCTCATAACCAGGAAGAAGCAACAGCTGGGGCCCATCTCATAACCAGGAAGAGGAAGCAGCTGGGGCCCATCTCATAACCAGGAAGAGGAAGCAGCTGGGGCTCGTCTTATAACCAGGAAGAGGAAGTGGCTGAGCTCTGCTAACTCCTCCCAGGCCATGTCTTCTTGTCTCCAGCATTAGCAAGGGACTAAGCTTAGGAACACAGAAGATCCAATCTACAGCAGGCCAGCCTAACAGAACTGATTGATATGTGGCCAGTGTAATAGAGGAATGGAACTTCAGTTTATACAACCATATGTGCTTAGTGGCATATCAGACCGTGAAGCCCTATAGCAATCATTAAAAAGAATACACAATGTAGAGGTAGTAAGAAGCAAAAATGGCAAATACAAGTAAAAAGCCAAAAAATAAAAATAAAAAAAAAAACAAGTCAAAGGCCATCTGTCAGAATGGATAAAAATGTAACGCTTAACTCTTAAGGGATCTGCCACAAATTCACCCTAAACAAAATGGCAGACAATGCAAAAGGAGAGGAAAAGATGTCTCAAGTAGACAGTGACCACAGGAGAAGTGGGTGACCTCAGCATCAGTCTCCAGCAGAAAGACAGGTTTGGGATGGCACACACATCTGTGGGTGCCAGACTAGTGTCTGGCAAGTCCCAGGAGCATAGGAATGACTTAGGTTGCAAAGGGAAAGGAGAAATGTTACCCTCTATAAGAGGTTTTGGAAGTTTGTTGCAGTTTGTGTTAGGAGCTACTAGGGACAGCCGTCACAGGCCAGCGGGCTATCTGCTGGACAGTGTCCTGTGAGGAGCACCTACCTATCCTTGTGGCTGCTCCTGTTATCTAAAGAGCTGTGTACCGAGGTTGCCCTCCAGTCTGTCAGTGCTTGACCCCATTGTAAACGTTCAGTAAATGTTCACCTTGGTACCAAAGCAGGCATCAGAATGACTATGAAGGCAGAATCCCCTTGGCACAGAGCCTCAATCTGCAATGAAGAAACAATCTGGCATGCCTCACGCCCCCAACAGCTCAAAACCCATCAGGCCTGTGGACCTAGCAGCCAATGCCAGTCCCAGCTGACATTCCAGCATCTCTTTCTTGGCAAGTAGTACAACAGTGGAAAGAAAGTCAGTGAGGCCGAGGACTTACTAAATAGTAGTATGTTCAAAGAGACAACTGTGTAATACTACTGTACTTTCTACTCAAGAGTTCACAAGAAGCTGGGTGCTGCTAGTGGCTCACACCTGAAATCCTAGCTCCTGAGGAGGTTGAGATCTGAGGATCAAGGTTCAAAGCCATCACAGGCAGGAAAGTCGCTGAGACTCTTACCTCCAATTAAGCTACCAAAAAGCCAGAAAGTGAGCTATGGTTCAAGTGGTAGAGTGCTAACCTTGAGCAAAACAGCTAAGTGACAGTGCCTAGATCCTGAGTTCAAGCTACAGAACTAGTGTGCATGCGCGTGTGCACGTGCACGCACACACGTGCGCACGCACACACACACAGAGTTCATTATAAACACACCAGGTGAATGACGGGGTGACACTGTCTAAAGAGAAATATACTGTTTACTTGATTTATAGTGACATCACCTTTATAACAACAATTTTAAAAAACAACATGCCACATGCTAGACCAAGAAACAAGTCTGACAAACTTGAAAGGTTTAGATTCACACAACATTGTTGGCTGATCACAAATGATTTAAGGGGAAAAAAAAATCAGTAACAGAGCTAATCTGGAAAATGTCCAAATATCTGGAAACAGATTGCCTTCTAAGGAACACCTTTGCCAAGGAATTATAACTGTTAGGAGAAATGAAAACAAACATCTGAATATGTGGGACACAACTCAAACGCTGTCTCAAGGAAGAATTACAGCTCTAAATGCTTAGAAAGCTTCTGAACCAAGAAGCTAAGCTTCCATTTTAAGAATCTAGGTTAAACTCAAAACAAGTCCAAGAAAGGTATCAAATTAATGAAATAAAAGCAACAGAGAAAAGCCATGAGCCCCAAAGCTGACTTTCTGAAAGGATGAACACATATAAATCTTGAGTTGAGATTACTCAAGGCAAAGAGAAGACAAAATCCCCCGTCTCAGTAGAAGCACTTCCCACAGAGCCAACATACAGGACAGGGGACTACCACCACACCTAGTCCATTAAATTCTGACAGCTGTAAACACATTAACCCTGGGGTAGGTATCTCATAACCAAGCTACAGTCAAGGTCCTAGGAGGAGGAGCAGGCTCAGTGCTCATGAAAATCTCTAGTAAATGCAAAGTCGAGAGAGATACTGAAACCAAAACAAGAAGATTCTAAAAACAGGTTTAATATTTAAAACGTTTATGACACAGACATCACTCCCTTTACAAGTGGGCTTTTTGTACAAAGCATTAATGTAAAATTTACTTTACCATGAGAAAAGGATGCGATATTCTATCAAATGCACCTGCTCATTTTACACCTGGCACATTGAAAAAAGAGCAGAAAAAGAGCAGAAACTGGCAAACACTGCCCCGCTTCACACACCCACGGAGGGCCTGATCTCTGAAGATCCTATCTGACTGCTACGGGAAAGCACACCAGGACCTTTTCTCCACTGTTGTATCATAGGAACAAGTTTCCTTACCCACTGAATAAAACCAGCTCATATCAGAAAGCAGATTCCTCCGTGACCTGCCCACCTTTCGTGCTGTGACTACACACTTACTTAGGTGGACTGTCTTTCTCATTTCTATGAGAGCTATGTTGCTTGCTTTAAACGATCTTGTTAACAACCTGTGTCTGGTGGGCTAAAGGCAGGATAGAATAAACATATTTAAGTGGCACACAGAATTTGCATTCTTTTAAAAATTAGAAATGACAAGCCATTGTCTTCTAAATATGCGCTTAAAGCAGCGCAAGTACAGGCCTTCCAGTGACAATGTGCTCCGGCCACAGGCCTTGGTGGCTTGCAGAAAGAAGTGCTTCTGGAGCGTCACACGCTCTGGTTCTTCAGAGAAAACCAGAGGGCTGCAGAGTCAAATGTGGGTGGAAAGCTTCTTTTTTTCTTCAAACTGCTTGTCCACTGCCAGAGACAGGGCCTGAAGGAACCCCTCAATGGTGACGGTGGGTGCCTGGAAGGACAGTCAGGGCTAGGTGGTTCTACCTGGCAGCCACACCCCACCCACATACAGACTATGCGGAAGCTCAGGTCCGGTTTGTACCACACCCGTCAGGATGAAGCTCAGGCCCACCGCAGGGACCCAAACTTTATCTGTTCTCTTCAGATGAAGGGAACACTAACCCACACAACTGTTTCTAGGAAAACAGAAACAGCTGACAACAGGAGTCAACGACCAACTCACTGGGGCTGCGGGGCCCCAGGCCCTGCTTCTTAATAACCAAGAGCCACTAGACTCTGGTGTCCTGTGTCAAATGGAACCACTCATACCTCGTGGTTGTCTGTTACCTTGGTGCTGAACCCCAGGCCCAGAACAGGGGCTGCTACTGGCTGGGTGGAACACCAGGCCACTGACCTAAAAGAACCTTTTCAAGATCCATGTTTTCTTGTCCATGATGTCAGATACTCAAGGGGCCCACTGGCCACTGCCAGGAACATCCTGGGTGGAAGGGCCTGAGCCCTCTGAGGGGCCCAGGACTGGACAGGAGGAGGTATGGCCTGAGCCCACTGTGCGTGTGTGTGTGGGCATGTTTGTGTGGTAGAGCTACTTCCTTCTGAGAACTCACTGCCCCAGGACCATTGAGGCACCAGGGCCCATGGACAAGCATGTGGGAAAGCTGAGCCCCTGGGAGGATGGGGTGGGAGACTCACCTGGATATACAGTGCGTGAGCCAGAAAAGGGAGCTTCCTCAGGACCCGGCCACTGAGCCCCTGGCTCTTCCTATAAAAGTAGCTACATTCAGAGACACGACTTCACATAGCAACACAAACACTTCAGGACTAATTCTACTCATTACTGTGAAGCCTGCACCCAAAGGCTGGCTGAGTGACCCAAAAGCACAAGCCACTGGGCCCCTTAGACGGGTTGTCCCTCACTCTGGGCTCCAGCTCCAAGTGGGGGCTGGCGAGGCTCTCCAGACACGAGGGCTGACGTCACAAGGAGGCAGCCACCAGGAGATCCCCCAAGCACACAGGCAGGTTCACAACTCCAATGTTTTGTGTGTGTGTGTGTGGTAGTCCTGGAGTTGAACTCAGGCCCTGAGTACTGTCCCTGAGCATTTTTGCTGAAGACTAGAGATTTACCACCTGAGTCACAGCTCCACTTCTCAATATTAGGTGTTTAACTGGAAGTAGAAGTCTCGTAGATTTTCCTGACTGGCTTTGAACCATGATCCTCAGATCTCCACCTCCTGAGCAGAGGATTAAAGGTATGAGCCACTGGCACCAGCGATGTAACTTCAACTTTTGCAGGAATATACTGTTTTCCTTATCTTCAAATTAAGTCTTTTCGAAAGATGATCCAAATCTAGGAACACTGCATTTTTTCAATCAAAGCCTCCCATACATTCTAATTGTTTAAGAATACAGTTCAAACTCTGGCCTGAGATCTGACTGTTCCCAGCATATCCTCAACGCTGCAGCCTCGAGCACCACCCACAAGTGAGGCCTACACCAACAACTGCAGCCTCTCCAACTTCACTCTGTTCAGTCTCTTCTCCTGGGCTTGGTCTTTCACACTCCCTCAGCACCAAGGCTCTCCCTCACCTCTTTCCCATCAGTCTCTGCCTCTGGTGCACATGCCAGCTGGTCTCATGCTCATGTACTGAGGTGGCTGTGTTCATACATAGGTGTGCACTTGCACACCCACTCACTTCTACAGTGTGTTAAGAACTTACTTCCTTGACCCTCCCAAGGAAACATCAATTAATTCAGAAAATGTCTTTTTTGCCATTAACACACACACACACACACACACACACACACTCATCAACCACAAAAATACCACCCTTGATTCACACCTTGAAATTTCACTCAAAAGCAGGCTCAGCTTTGACACGTTGTTCTCAATGAAGCCAATCATCTCCAGCTCCCGGAGGGTCAGTAGCTGCTGGCGGGGGTATATGATCTGGCACTGAGGAACAGAGGCACATGCAGTTATAGCACAGTCCACGCAAAACAGCAAAAGAGCCGGTAACAGCACGTACAAGGCAGTGCCATCACACCCTAACTTATGCAATCTGGTTAGCAAGGACTCCTCACGGATACACGTCCTTGCTTCTTCAAAAAAAAGATGCTGTAGATAATGAAACCAGGAGCAGCCCTTTGCCAAAAGGGTCCCTCACTGTACTTCAGGCTCTTCAAAGAGAAGGTGTGCTGAACCCAGGGGGAAAGCTACCACGTGGAGCCAAGGCCTTGAAGGCTTACAAAGGTTCTGCCTGATGTGTGTCTTCAGCTGCATCGAGGTTAGCAGAATGACACAGTAAGAAACTAGACCCATTGCCTAGAAGTCAGTTGTAGTTGTTGTTTGCCAGGCAGTGTCACCGAACGGTCTCCACGACCAAGGACGACCATGAAATTCCTTCTGCACGTTTGGGGGTTAAGTGAGGGTTCTGGTAGTGTTAAGCAGCAGTGTCCTCCCCCCGCTGACTCACTAAGCAACGTGGTGGACCCAGTGGGTGGGGTGGTGGAGAACCCACTCCAAGTGTCCCAGGCCTCACTGGGCCTTGTGCTTGTCAGATAAGGGCCAGACAACACTTTAAAGAGTAGGGCCTACTTGCTTCCCAGTGGCTCTTATGACTGAACAAATGTCCACTGCAGACATTCCGTGCTTCCAGAAAAGGTCTGCACCTTCAGGTCAGTCCTTAGCTCATCATCTCCCAGAGCCAGTGCCCAGGTCATACGATGACTGAAGACCACATCAAAGGTGCGGATGGCCTCCAGTACACAGGGCCTGCCTCATGCTGGCTGTCCTCAGCAGAACTGTTTACATTTCCTCCAATTACACACACTTGAATCAAAGACCCACAGAGCCAGGACAGGATGTCTGTGTGCGACAGTGCTGGCCTGGGCATCCTCCTGGGCCTCTGCCCAAACCAGCTCCTATCCCTGCACAAGGAGGCCTCCTCCATCCTGTGGTGTCAGACAGGGCTCATGGAATTCCACCCTGCTAGCTGACGGCAAAGACTCTACCAGTTAGCATTATCAATGCCCGCTGGCTAACCCGCTTGGTCAATACCCAGGCTCCCTACTCCAGGTTCAAAGCAGGAAATGTCTGAAACATTAGATGCCAGGGAATCACAGCTTTCAGTCAGTGACAGTGCTGTGAACTATGAGTCAGATGATGCCCTGTGAACCACACCAGCCACTGTAAGGAAAGCTGGCCTAGCAAGCCAATCACCTGCTATGCACTGTGTCAAAAGAACAATACTGACTTGGTAGGCACAATTTAGGTCATTAGCTCAACCTGGCAGACTTTCAGTGTTAAGAAAACAGTTAAAGCCGGGCGCTGGTGGCTCACGCCTGTAATCCTAGCTACTCAGGAGGCTGAGATCTGAGGATCGCAGTTCAAAGCCAGCCCGGGCAGGAGAGACCGTGAGACTCCTATCTCCAATAAACCACCAGAAAACCGGAAGTGGCGCTGTAGCTCAAGTGGTAGAGCGCTCGCCTTGAGCTGAAGAGCTGAGGGACAGCGCCCAGGCCCAGAGTTCAAGCCCCACGACCGACAAAAAAAAAAAACAACAACAGTTAAGGCCTATGTTGAAATGCCTTACTCTACACCAAAACTCAAATTGTTTTAACTATGTCAATTAACTAAGAATATGTAAGCAATCCAGGGATTAAGAAGGAAAGAAATAATAAAGCACCTTCATTAGTTCTTCCAAACAAGAGAGGTAGATTTTGAAGATGGCTGCCGCAGAGGGTGGCCCGATGTACTGTTTGATGTCAGCTCTGTCCACAAAGGCCACATCGATCTTCTCGGTGATGTTGGAGGTGGTCAGAATCACCACATTGGAATGCCTGTGGTGGCCACAAGGACTTGTCACTGTCTGCCTGAGGTTAAGTCGTGCACGGCCCTGCCCAAGAGTGAGGGGACAGGCAGGAGGACTGGCCACTGGGCTTCTGGTTTGAGAAAGGCTCAGTAGCTTCCTTCTGATGACCATGGTCTGAGAGAGCCATCTCTGACAGACCTGCACAGTCAGTATGAAAGTTCCAGCCTCTGAGAGGGGCTCTTCTAGCTGTAACACACTGTTGAGTAGACTATCTCCAGGGAAAAGACTGACTGCTGCTTTGCTTCTAGAAAGCATTATGAGATCCTGCCCAATGGACCCTATTTGTTCCCTTACCTCCTTCAACTTTGGTGAAGGGCTCACTTCTGTATGGCACCCTGATCACTTTAACTAGCCCCTGGCTAGGGCCTGGCCTCAAAGCCGCCCCGGAGCCACTGTGCAGCAAATATACTTTGAATTAAAAGAGACAGGAGTAGGAGCTAAGTTGTGTGGTTATCACACCTCTCCATCATCTCTCATATAGAAGTCTCATTGCCAACCCCAAAATTACCTCTTAATCTGATCAATCTGGGTCAAGACGGCATTGACAACACGGATCGCGTCGGATGGCTCAGCACCTGCCCTACAGGCACTGCGAGCAGCTGTGAGACTTTCTACCTGTGGAACAGAGTAACAGGTCACAGAGGTCAGTGCCTGGCAATTCACCAGCCGCTGGCAGGCAGTGAACTCTGATGCTTGGGGCTATCTGGGGAAAGGATCCTACAGTACAGAGCACAGGACACAGCAGTAGGTGAGTTAACGGGCAGGCAGAAGCATGAAGCCACCTGGGTACTAGCCATAGCAAGAGGTACCTCAGGCACAGGCTGAGTACTTCCAAGTGCTCACCTCATCGATCAGCACAAACACCAGTGCTTCTTTATCGTCAATCAAGTCTTGGATCTTCTGGAACATCCTAGTTACCAGCTTCCCACTCTGGAACCAAAACACTCTGTGAGCAGTGCAGACTGGCGTTGAGATGTTATAGGGGCATGTGGGCATTGCTGGGACATATTCCCCCTGGGGGCCCCATGAGACCATCTCTCCTGATAGTCCCTCAGAAGCCTCCCTGGATCCAAGGAACCAGGCCAGCACAGAGGGAGGTTAGCTCGCTTCCTGTGCCAGGGCACTTGGACTTAAGCACACCACTTGCTCTGCCCAATGTTGTCCAACACAGGTGGCTCCCTTTCTGGTCACCTGTGAACTTACAACCAGGAATGAGAGCATCATAGATGGCAATCTAGAAAGTGACCATGAATACTCCACACGAGTCCTCTGCCCACTGACTGTGTCCTGCTTTGCCACCACCACCAGATGCTGATACGAGATTCCTTGGGCACACAGCCTTAAGAACTGAGGAGTACCCAATGTGACACTCTGTGCACGTGCTGCTGTGCAGAAGGGTGGAAAACCTGCCGACTGTTCAGGTGTGCGGAATGTCCCATCCCACCCAGCCTGAGGTTGGGGATATGGCCAATGGGGCCTCTCAGGCTCCATGTGCTTCCAATCAGATGTAGTTCTGAGTCCTCTGATCAAAGTTGGCTCCATTGTTCACTTCCCATTTTACCTATTTGTCTAAGAAGCTTTTGTGAATATTTGTCTAATACACAAGATACTGTTTTTTAAGCACATATGTAACGATTCCAACAAGTAATTAATACTTACTTCTGAAAACCACTTAGAAAACAAGCTGTGGCTGTTTATTTCAACTAATTGGCCATACCGGTACCTAAGATGACAAGAACATGGGGAGAAAATACTTTACAACCAGCCCCATGAACTTCATACCAGGAACCTGTGTTGTTTAACCCCACATTGCCACATTCTGGGACTGTAAACTCCGTCATCACATAGCTGACAAAATTTTAAAAAATAGTGCCAGCTGTGTTCTACATAATTATGAAAAATGCAACAATTGCAATCAATAACCCTAGATTGCACAACTGAATTTTTCTATAATCTCATTTGAACTAAACAGCAGAAATTCAAACTTCAATCTACTTATAATTTGCATTTCATGTTTAAAAATTATTAAGGGCTGGGAAGGTAGCTCAGTGGTAGAGCGCTTGCCTTGCATGCCTGAGGCCCTGGGTTTGATTCCTTAGCACCACATAAGCAAAAAGAAAAAAGCTGGAAGTGGCGCTGTGGCTCAAGTGGTAGAGCGCTAGCCTTGAGCTGAAGAGCTGAGGGACAGCGCCCAGGCCCACAGTTCAGGCCCCACGACCGGACCCAAAAAAAATAAAAAAATAAAAATTATTAATACTAATGTTGCAAACATAACAAAATAGAAGCATCCAGAGATTTTGGGCCTTTCTTCCTCTTTCCACAGAACTGTGAAGAGTGTAACAATACCTTTTCTAAGGTGACCATAGAGCACACCTGACCCCTGCTGACTACTCAAGTCTACCTCTCAGGAGACTAGCATATACTCTCCCACATAAGCAAACAGGAGACAGGACTGAGGTGAGAAGCTGGCCAATGCCAAGACCTCTAGTTTTCTCATGTCACAAGTCTACTGCAGAAGTACTAACAGTATCACTGGCAGTACATTTAAACAGAAAACATAAGTCACTGTTATTGCTATATGGTTAACAGTTAATATTAAAGTAATATTAGGTTATAAAAGGAGTCTAACAAAGGTAGGGTTGAATATGAAACAAAATTAACTATAAAACATTTCTAGTATTTAAAAATAATTAAGTCCTGAAATACACATCTACATTTTTCTAACTAAAAAGTTACATTTCTTATAAATAGTATTTTCCCTCTTTGGTGCTTTAGGAAATTGTTTCAGGAGATCTTTAAAACACAGATGCAGCTGGGTGTCAATGGCTCACACCTGTTATACTAGCCACTCAGCAGGGAGAACTGAAGATCATGCTCCAAAGCCAGCCCGGGCAAGAAAGACTCTTATCTCCAATAAACTACCCAGAAAGAGCAGAACGTGGTGCTGTGGCTCTAGCAGCAGAACGCTAGCCCTGAGCACAAAGAAACTGATGGGCCAGTTCAGGCCTAATTCAAGCACTAGGACCAGCAAAAACAAAAACAAAACCACAGATGCATCTCAATGTATCAAAATAAGGGCCAAATCTCAAAAACAACAGAGTAAAACCAAAGCACTGTCCCTATGTAAAAATATTTATAAGAAATCTTTGAAAAGAAACAAGATAGACCAGCAACAGTATGTCACCATACCTCTCACAGGGCTTGCTCTTCATCCAGTAGGTACAAGATATACCTCCCTATCTTGGACAATGAGGAAACTAGACAAAACCAGTGAAGTGACATCTGGTAAGGATGCTGCTCACAAGCAACAGAGGCATGTGATTCTGAGAAAGGGCACAAGACTAAGCTCTCGTGCTGGCCCAGCTTCCTGCCCAGGCTATCTCCAGCTAGAGATCTGGAAGGAACCCAGAAGAGCACTCACACTAAACAACTTGTGGGTGCGGACAGGAGGCAAAAACTGGGAGACAGTGAGGGAAGGCATGAGACTGTCCAAAAGCAAATGTATTCTTTACTTGACTTAGGAAATAGTAACTCCTCTGTACATCACCGTTATCATAGCAATAAAAAATTAAAACATGATCAAGAACTGGGGAAAGGCAAATCAACAGAAACAGAACACTGAAACTGCTCTTGGAACTTACAAAGACAGACTGGTAGGCAAAAATACCAAAACTGTTATTATCAACTTATTCAGGATTCTGAGGAGCACATGAGAGAAAAGGAAGGCATAAAAAGAACCAAATAGAATATCTTCAGAGAAGAATAATACATTGTAGAAATAAGAATATCACCAAATGGAATTTAAAACAGGTTAGACACTGCAGAAAATCAGTAAACTTGAACATGTAGTGATAGATGTTGCTCAATACTAAACAGTGACATTTTAAAAAATCTGAAAAAATTATATAAGGCACATCAGTGGCTTGTGGATACCATATCAAGCAGTTTATCAATCACTGGCCCCTGAAGAAATGTTTTCCAAAGGTGGTAAAAATCCTGAAACTGGAAGATCTCAAGGAAAAGCAGTCAAGATCGATCACACGATCTAGGCTTCTTCTCTCAGTATGTGAGAAAACGAGAGGCAGACAGAAAACACAGACGGCTGTGGAGCACCCTCCGCCACTGCACAGCACAACCACACATTAACAAGCACCAGCTTTCAAGTGTCCTTGACAGACCAAGTGCACCAGGACAGACAAGGCTGCCATACCAGGAGAGCTGGTGTCCTTGATGCGACTCAATCTAACTGGAGACCATGCTGGGAACAGAGAATGAGGTGGCCTAGAGCAAAGGAGCAAAGTATAAAGTGATTTATGACTCGTGCAATAAAAAGAGCTTTAAACTACATGAATCCCATTTCTGTGGCTTTCCCTCCTCAGATCACCAGTTACCTGCTAGACAGTCGGATGGTCAGTTTCTGGGCCAGTGCCTTGCACAGAGATGTCTTTCCAGTTCCTGGGGGACCTGTGGTAAGCAAAGCATACCCATTTTTAAGCCAGTGCCGCCACATTTCTTTAAACACTAGGTATAATACTGACAGGACAGAGGGGAAAAAAATTACTAGAAATACTACTATTAGCTTACACTGGAGAGGCTAGGAGCTATTACCACAACAGTTTCAACTCTTTCTTCCTATCGGGATGCAACCTGCATCCAGCACACTGCTTCCTGACCAGCTGCCATTCTCAGCCTTCCAAGCAAACACCGCACTTCCCTGTCTACATCCATCTCTGTCCTCTCCTTCCTCTATGAAGTCCACTCATCAACGTGCCTTTCTGATAAATGGATGTAGCATGCCACTTCGCTAGGACTGTATTTCTGTAGCACCACCATCTTCACTGTGGATAACCCTGAGGGTTTGTTTGCACACTGCACTAGATCAGGAAAGTAGTAATACAGTCTAGACCTCAAGTGTCCCATAGAGGATTATTCTCCAAAAAGATGCTGCTGGGATCTTTGAAAGTGGGCCTGCAAGAGGTTTTAGCATTGGGAGCATGACCCTTGAAAGACACCTTGGGAACCATCTCTTCCTCTTTCTCCTTCCCAGTGCTGGGATGGAAGACTTAGCCCTGCCATGGGCTCCTGCCAGAAGGGGCTGCTTCACCATGGCCCAAACTGGAAGGCCGTGACCATGGACTGCAGGGCAGAAGAAAGCTTCTCCTTTGCTAAGACAATCATCTCAGGGCTTCATTATAATGGAAGCTGATACAGCAGTCACTCCATTTAAGTCTCTTTCTGGTCCTGTGGATACACTGAAGTGCACACAGTTGGAAGGAAGAATGCCCCAGCACAACATAGAGACACATTTAACTAGGCGTTCTTATGCTTTGCCAAGAACGAGAAATCATACACAATCCCAAACTAACTAAAATACTCAGTGACTGCCTTCTCTGAGGCGGATGGTATGCTGGTGACATCTGACACAAGACCCTTTTTGAAAAGATTATGGGCAACATGGTTCTTTTGTTATTGTTGGTGATGGTATTTTTGCTTTTGGTTTGTTTTTGTGAGTCTTTTTAGGAGGGGGCAAAGGGAGGAGCTTAGAAATGGAGGGAGGGTGAGCAAATGCAGTCATGGCTTTGAGTACACACTATGTGGAAAATGAACTATGCAGCTTGCGGGGCAGATATGGGAGCAGGAAACTGAAGGAAGGCAAAGGAAGGGGTGACACTGCCTCAAAAGAATTGTACTCATTACTTAACATAAACTGCCTCTGTACAATACCTTAATAACAAAATTACATTAAAAAACAAAAAGATCATGGAAAATCATAAAATCTTATTGACATAAAGAGGATAATGTAATTTACTCTGGCCTCCTGCTTGCTGTCATTTTGTACTCCCTTGACTGTCATCAATTTGTTTTTCTCTCCACTATAATTGAAGGACCAAAAAGCCCCAAAGCCCTGTTATAAAATGGAGGGAAGAAGGGTGAGCAAATGCAGTCAATGTATTTAATGTACACTATGTAAAAATTATATGACATAAGCGAGGGTAGGGATGGGATGGAGGACGATGAAGTGTGACATTAAGATGTAGTATACTCACAACCTGACTTCTGGAATTGACATCCGTTTGTACAACTATTTAAAACACATAATTTATTTATTAAATGTCTTTTGTAAACTATTTTTACAAAGTAAAGTTCTAAGAACCCCTAGAAGTAGGAGATAGATTTTAGTGTAAGGAATTATAACCAGCTGGGAAATAAGGCAGTTAATGTAAAAAAACAAACAGAGTCCTAAGGCAGTAATAATCAGCTATCATGAAGATCTGGGTAAGAAATGTCTATGTCAAAGAACAGGATGAGGTTCTTTAAACGAACAAAGAGCTGTAACGGCGCAGAAGGACAGAGTAACAGGTACGGGCCCCTGTGGCCCATCTTGTCACATAAGCACTTGCACATCTCACCATGCAGAAGCACCACTCGGTTCCAGCTGATGATGTTGCTGTCAACATTCTTGTCTGAGAAGAGTAAGGTGGTCATCACATAATCAAGGAGCTTAACCAAAAAAGCAAAAACAAGAGAACAAGTAAAGGAACCACTATGGCAAAGGCTCCCAATAAATATGCTGTTAGGACTTGCTTCTAGAGAAGGAGCAGGGGCAGTGTTGCCACCTCTGAGGGCCTGTCATTCTAAACAGTGATCATCTCATGTCACAGCCTTCCATTCTAGAAGGTATTTCAAAAGGTAAAAGGGTACATGTTGGCTGTGACTGTTACAAAAAAGAGAAGAAACAAACTAATCACCCTACTTAAAAGGTCAGCATGAAACCAGTGGCTAAGGCACTGCTCCTGGGGCAAGCTTCCCACGGGAACAGCACAGCAGACACAAAGGTACCTGTTGTGAGTCTTAGCAGCCACCCCGAAGTCCCAGAAAGCCCATGAAGGGAGTCAGATGCACCTGTTTTCATCTGGACTTGCCTACCTCATTCCTTCTGTCTCCTTCAGGAAAACAAGCTGCCCTCATCATTTTTCCTTACCCTTCCTCCCTCAGAGACTATCCCCAGGCTGGGACCTTGCAGGACAAATATCATGATGTGCTGTTGGTAGCAGGGTTTCCCTACGGCTATGAGCCCAAGAGCTGGCAATGCTGTGGGGCAGTGGGAGTCACAAACACTTACATGTGATTTGACTTCCACATCATACACTAGGCTGTCCCAAAGCCCATGGAACTCAGCTGTGGGAGAGAATAAAACAAAGCCCTAATTTTAGGAAGTGAGTAAACACATGGTCAGCTCCATCCACATCCAATGCCTGCCCCTGCTCCATTGCTTCAGACTGAGACTCTAACAGAAAGTTCAGTACTTTCAAATTTCAGTTTTCTTCTTAAAATTAGAGATACAAAATGTATGTGCCAGAATGTATGTGACAGATAAAATGAGGTGAACAGATCCTTTTGTCTTATCACGTAGTCATCTTTTGTGGATTAGTGCTTTAACAGCTCTCCTTACAGAGCAGGCTGAAGTAGCTGCTAGAAGCCAGCAGCAAAGCTCCCCGAGGAGAGAGCAAAAGCCCCCAGAGGACAGGGTAAGGAAGAAGGAACAGCTCCTCAGGGAGGACCACACAGGCGGAACGCGAAGCACAGCAACGTTCTCAGTGAGCTGCTGAAGTGCCTGCTCATGCTTTCCTCTGCGACTACACACTCTGGGTCTAGAACGACCCTCAAGGCACTTGTGTTAAAAGGCTGGTCTCCAGCTTGGTGGTGTTGGGAAGTGCTATCATATTAAAAAGGTAGAGCCTAGTGTGTGTGGGAGGAGGCATGAGGTCATCTGTGGGGAGTGCTCCTGAAGGAAATACTAGGACATGGATCTTCTGTTCTCCATGTACCTGAACATGAAATGAACAGGCCCACTCAGCCATGCATTTCCATACTACGGCACCCTCCGGCCATAAAATGGGAGCCAATTGGGAATAAGCTAAAACCTGTAAAACTAAGAGCAAAATATAACCCTTCTCCTTGTAACCTAATTATCTTAAGTAACTGTTACAGTTATAGAAACTACCACTGTGATATATTTTTCATTTATGAAGAGATAAAACATCCTAAAATCATACAGAACAACTTCCTCAGCAAAGTGGATTGACACCATTGGCACATACCATCTTCTGATCTCAGCCATGACTGGTGCCCCGTGCCTACAGGCAGTGCCCAGTAGTCTCTGTCAGCCCCCACATCATGACTGACACCCTATACCTGCAGGCAGAACCCAGTGATTTGCTGCAATTATATTTTCTGTCTCTTCCTCCAAGTTTTCACTGATGGGGCCATCTTCATTCAACTGAAAAATGTGAAGTGCAGTGGTGCATGCATTCAAATCAATGGGCTGTCAATGAGAAGGCAAAATCAAATAAAGCTACACAATTCAAATGCCATCCCTTTTAATATTGGCTCTACAAATTAGATGCTAAGGTCTAAAAATATGCTAAGTACATAGTACATTTAAAAACAAGTTTTCAGAGTAAATGGAAAGTCTTTAATTTCAGACTCAGTTCTTTCCAAGATGTGTATTCATCCCTTCTCCTTTGGACCCTTATTTCTATTAAAAAAGAAAACAAATCATTGCAAATAAGCACATGCATACTGAGAAAAAAATGCAAGCAGTATAGAAGAAAGGACCTACATCCAAACTTAGGTATTCAACAAAAAACAATCATACAAGCCTAGCTAGGCATGAGTTTTTTCATGTATACTTTTCCTTTTTTTATCTTTTTTTTTTTTTTTTTTTATTATCCGGTCATGGGGCTTGAACTCTGGGCCTGGGCGCTGTCCCTCAGCTCTTCAGCTCAAGGCTAGCGCTCTACCACTTGAGCCACAGCTCCACTTCCGGCTTTTTTCTTTTTGCTTATGTGGTGCTGAGGAATCGAACCCAGGGCCTCAGGCTTGCAAGGCAAGCGCTCTACCACTGAGCCACCCTCCCAGTCCTACTTTTCCTTTTTTATCTTTGGACTGGTTTCCATCTGTAATGTGTTTACATGGTTTGGGTATGATACACACACACAACATGATTGCCTGTCAGACCTGCTCATGTGGTTGAAGCAGTGGAAGTACTGTCAAGCACACACACTGGGAAGTTAATGCATGCTCCCTTTCTATAGCTGGGAAGATGCATAATATCTTCCCATAGGACTGGGAGGAGGGCTACAGGCCTCCTCCTGAACAAAACTAGACACACATGTCATCTGAAAATATCCTACGGAGAATACTTCTATCTCCTTATATACTTATCTGGCCACTTACTTACATCTCTCTGGCTCATCTGTTTTATGTACTGTGCAGTAATCTAATACGACTCTGCTGCTTGTTCCAGATTTGCCCACTGGGAGCTTATTCAGGTTGGCTACTATTTTTAGGTGACAAGTCCTCACCTTTTCTTTTCTGAGCACTTTATTACTTTCTGGTACTACAACATGACTCACATTTTCTTATCAGTTATAGGGCTATAAGTGGGGATGGGGAGGGCAAATGGAGAGGGTAAAGGAGGGCAAGAATGGTCCAAGTCCTTCTTATGCATGTAGGACAATACAAAATAATGAAATCTACCGTAACTGTTTTAAGAAAGGAAAAAGATAAATCTGATCAGGAGATACTATGCATGTATACAAGTGTCATAATGAAATCTCTCTTATACAACCAATTTATACTAATAAATTATGAATAGAGAAACAAATAGGATATATACTGGGAGAGAGTGAAGGAAGGGGTGCCACTATTCAAAAAGAAATTATCCAATTTATGAAATGGTAACCCCTTTGTACATCATTTTAAAATTTTTAAAAAGAAGGTTATATAGTATCTCATAATTTGCATTCCAAATGTTTAGGCTTTAACTGCAAAGTAACAATATGAGAAAAGACATTCAAGAAACTGAGCAGATACCAATGCTAAGAGGAATAAAGATGCTGCCCAAGAGATAACAGCTACTGTACGTAACTTTGCATGCTGTGTCTGCTATCACCTGATATGGCAAATATTCTTCAAAATTTTCTTTATTTTGTTCTAGCCAATCTTGTTACTTGTGTTTCCAAGCTTAATCTTGCATTATAGTGACTATTTCCTGTTCAAATGGCTGTGTTGTTTCTTCCTTGTGACTGGATCCTGAGTTTCCAGAAAAGGGGGGTGAGGGGGTTGCCCCTAGAAGTGTTTGACATCCTAACAATGTGCCAGACAGCGATCATGGCTCCTTTTAAGTTGATGCAAAAAGATACACAGGAATGAGAGAAATTGCACTTGAGCTGGTAGTTGATAAGGAGACATTTGTTTTATTATAGGATATAGGGTTTCCGTTGGAGTGACTCAATCAGCAATTAAGGAAAGAATTTTATATTGAGATAAAACTTAATTAGTTGGTCCCTTAATTTAAGTTAAAAAAAATTCAAGTCAAGGACACTGAGCATTTTTTTCTGGATAGACTGTTTTCCTTAAACATGATCTAGTTTGAAAACTAAGTGCTACAGAAAGATGCCAAAGTGGACTGGTAGACTGAAGAATACCGAGACAAGTTTTCTATCTGGGCCTTTTCCCACTTACTACACTTGGAGACATTTCTATGTCAGTAAGTAGAAACTTGCTATTTTTTAAATAACTATATCATATTTGGCGTACATTATCAAATTTGTTTTGCCAATTTGGTCAATCAAGTTAAAATGTCAAAGTGCTGGCTATCAACAATATGCAGTACTGTCAGTAATCAGGACACTTGATAAGCCATGCTTATAGAAATTCTAGCTATTCAGGGGGTGAAGATTGGGAAGATTGTGCTGGGAAGGTGGCTCAGTGGTAGAGTGCTTGCCTTGCATGCATGAGGCCCTGGGTTCAATTCCTCAGCACCCCATAAGCAAAAAGAAAAAAGCCAGAAGTGGTGCTGTGGCTCAAGTGGTAGAGCGCTAGCCTTGAGCTGAAGAGCTGAGGGACAGCGCCCAGGCCCAGAGTTCAGGCCCCACAACCGGACCCCCCCCCCCCACCCAAAAAAAAAAAGATTGGGAAGATTGCCAGTCCAGAAAGACGTCAGAGGAGGTATTTAGCTAGACTGCCATCTCAACCAGATGTGGAAAGATAAGCCAGATGTGGTGGTATGCCTGTGATCTCAGTCATGTGGGAGGCACAAGCAGGACTTCAGTTTATGCAGGCCCTGGGTAAAAACATGAAAACTAAAGCAAAAGAGGAACGGGGCATTGTAGCACTAGCATGGCAAGCCCAAGGCCTTGAGTTCAAACCGCAGTGCCACAAAAAATTGCAACAAACATTTGTTTTTCGTATACATCTACAGAACTGCTTCATTATCAGCTTAGATAATTTTCACAGGTTAGCCTGTATGTAGTCCAAGAGAGCATTAAAACTTTTCCTGGACAGCCCTAGTGCCCTCCAACCAACGGAACCTTCTGTTCCATTGCTGTTTTCCCCAGGAATTTCTGAAAACTTGTCCTTTGCCTTCAAGAAAGGACATTAAGAAGACAGTAGTATCAGATCTTAGAATGGATAACACCTCATAAGTCATAACCCATAAGCATTAGTCTTAACATGAATGACAAGGTCTGTACTGCTAGCAAAATTCTAGGGCCAAGCCTGTTGCCCCAAAAACAACAATTTTACTTACTTTATTGTTTTGCACTCTATAACTTAGCTACATCTCTAGCCCTGAAAATCAATTCTTTATAGGGTATGAATTGTATAGTACTCACTGATGTCTCTTCCTTAGAGACAGACTTCCAAGTGTTTTTACACTAGGGACAAGCCATATGCAGGACACAATAAAAAAACACTTCATAAGGTTTCATAAACCCAGCTTATTTCAATAACTGCCATACTTCTTTCAATCCTGACCCATCCAATATGAGCACTCCATGAAAGTATTCCTGCTGAATGACAGAGTAGGAGATAGCGCACTATTCCACAGCCCCACCCTCCAACTCTTGGACTCTAATCTGTCCTCATTCAGTCTAAATCAGGAAGACTACCCCTACTTCGGCCATCTGGCTGTAGGATAGATGGCCAGAGGCTACGTAGTCATCCAAATGAAACCAAACCAAATAATTGGGCTCGAAAAGGAGCAATAGATATTCCTGATACCAACTTTGTACTCAGCTGTTTGAACAAGGATGTTACCTGAACATCTTTAGCTTTTAATTCTGTGTCAACAATAGACACAGACTGTACGTTTCTGATCAGAAAAGGATCATCGAACTCAGTCCAAGTGTAATCTCCAAATACAATGTTATGCCTGTTGAGAAGCTTCCGTACACTTAGCTTTATATCTTCTTTTTTCGCAGTGCTAAGAAAACAAAACATATAGAGAAGACCACGGTTAAACACTTTACCTGGACGTTTGTGGTTGGAGGCCAGCTTGGGCAGGGAAGTTCACTACCCGCCATTTCCAAAGTCGCCAGCACAAAAGCAGAGCTGGAAGTGTGGCTCAAAAGAAGCACCAAGCAAGCAGGCTGCCCGGCGGGCCCGGCCCAAGCGGAGACCCCCGACGGGCGGGGCGCGGTGGGGCCCCGTCCAGCCTGTGGGGTTGTGCACGCTGGGGCCAGACCCCGCCGCCGCGCTGACCCCGCCCCGGCCCCGGCCCCGGCCCCCCGCCGGCCCCGGGCCCCGCCGCACTGACTCCCGCCCCGGCCCCGGCCCCGGGCCCCGCCGCACTGACTCCCGCCCCGGCCCCGGCCCCGCCGCACTGACTCCCGCCCCGGCCCCGGCCCCGCCGCACTGACTCCCGCCCCGGCCCCGGCCCCGCCGCGCTGACCCCGCCCCGGCCCCGTCCCCGCCGCACTGACTCCCGCCCCGGCCCCGGCCCCGCCGCGCTGACCCCGCCCCGGCCCCGGCCCCGCCGCACTGACTCCCGCCCCGGCCCCGGCCCCGCCGCGCTGACCCCGCCCCGGCCCCGGCCCCGCCGCACTGACTCCCGCCCCGGCCCCGGCCCCGCCGCACTGACTCCCGCCCCGGCCCCGGCCCCGCCGCGCTGACCCCGCCCCGGCCCCGGCCCCCCGCCCGGCCCCGGCCCCGGCCCCGGCGCCCACCTGCCGCCGCGCTGCAGCACCTCCACGTGCACCGCGGGAGACTCGGCCACGCAGGGTAAGGCCTGCTTTAGGTCCCCGACCGCCTCGTCCATGGCGCCGCTGCCGGGAGCTGCGGGGATTCGGCCAGAGCGAGGCCGTCGCCTCCCCGCCCCCCGGCGCCACCGCCGTCGCCGGCCCCGCCGCCGCCCGCGCCCCGCCGCTCGCCACGCCCGGGCCCCGCCGCCGCCCGCGCCCCGCCGCCGCCCGCGCCCGGGCGCGCTTCGAATCTGCCGCGCGCGGCTCGCCAACCTCTGACCCGGAAGCGCTCGGCGGCAGCAGAGCCACTTCCGGCGGCGCAGGCCGGGCCTGAGGCGGCCGCGCTGCCGCCAATCCGCCGCGGCCATGGGCAAGAAGCACAAAAAGCACAAGGCCGAGTGGCGCTCGTCCTACGAAGGTGCGTCGCTCGGGCCGGCGAGAGCAGGGGACGCCGAGGCCGGGCTGAGGGGACCGGGAGGGGACAGAGAGGCCGGGCCGAGGGGACCGGGAGGGGACAGAGAGGCCGGGCCGAGGGGACCGGGAGGGGACAGAGAGGCCGGGCCGAGGGGACGGGGAGGGGACAGAGAGGCCGGGCCGAGGGGACCGGGAGGGGACAGAGAGGCCGGGCCGAGGGGACGGGGAGGGGACAGAGAGGCCGGGCCGAGGGGACGGGGAGGGGACAGAGAGGCCGGGCCGAGGGGACCGGGAGGGGACAGAGAGGCCGGGCCGAGGGGACGGGGAGGGGACAGAGAGGCCGGGCCGAGGGGACCGGGAGGGGACAGAGAGGCCGGGCCGAGGGGACCGGGAGGGGACAGAGAGGCCGGGCCGAGGGGACCGGGAGGGGACAGAGAGGCCGGGCCGAGGGGACCGGGAGGGGACAGAGAGGCCGGGCCGAGGGGACCGGGAGGGGACAGAGAGGCCGGGCCGAGGGGACGGGGAGAGGACAGAGAGGCCGGGCTGAGGGGACCGGGAGGGGACAGAGAGGCCGGGCCGAGGGGACGGGGAGGGGACAGAGAGGCCGGGCCGAGGGGACCGGGAGGGGACAGAGAGGCCGGGCCGAGGGGACCGGGAGGGGACAGAGAGGCCGGGCTGAGGGGACGGGGAGAGGACAGAGAGGCCGGGCCGAGGGGACGGGGAGAGGACAGGAGAGGCCGGGCCGAGGGGACGGGGAGAGGGGACGCCGACGCCGGGCCGAGGGGACAGGGTTCCCGGGAGAGAGGACACTGAGGCCATGCCCAGGGGTCCTGGGAGAGGTCGCTGGGAGTGGAGGGTGGCACCTGACTGGGGAGATGGAAGGAAGCTGGGGACCAGCTCACAGGGCTACATTCCTTGGGGTCCCGTCTTGCCTGCCCTGCCTGGGTCCTGTCTTCCTGCCATCAGTTCAGGAGGACTTGCAGTCGGAGCCAAAGGAAGGGCGCTCAGGAGGGGTGATGGGGTCCTGGGAGGGAGAACCCAGGAACAGCCTTGGTACCCAGGTGAGGAGGATGTATTTGGGAGGGAGGGGGCAGAAAGTGGGACCTGACACTCCATGTCCCATCTTTTCAAGCTTCAGGGGCTCCCTGTGGAGCATCTTGGTAAGGCCCGTCCCCCACTCTTGGATCTGGGTTTCTCCCCTATGGTGGTCATAGGGGACGGGCAATTCAAGTAGTTTGCTCAAGTCCAGGCTGACCCCAGGATTTGTGTGTAGATTATGCAGACACACCACTGGAGAAGCCTCTGAAGCTGGTACTAAAGGTGGGCGGAAGCGAAGTGACTGAGCTCTCAGGATCTGGCCATGACTCCAGCTACTATGACGACAGGTCAGACCATGAGCGAGAAAGACACAGAGAAAAGAAGAAGAAAAAGAAGAAGAAGTCTGAGAAGGAAAAGCACCTCGATGATGAGGAAAGGAGGAAGCGGAAGGTAAGGACTGTTGTAGCCAGTGAGCCCTCAGACCATGACCGTGAACCTTCAGAAAGCTGGGGCCAGTTGTATAATTCTGGTATCTTCAGACATCCCTTCTTAGCTGACCCTTGTGGTGGGTCTTGATTAATTCCCTGGGAAAAGGCTTCCCTTTGGACAAGACAGAAGTATGCAGCTCATGCAGCATTGGCCTATGTGAGCCCACCACCTTTTGGCCTCTGACCCTCACAGGAAGAGAAGAGGCGGAAGCGGGAGAAGGAACACTGCGACTCAGAAGGAGAGGCTGATGCCTTTGACCCAGGAAAGAAGGTGGAAGTGGAGCCACCCCCAGATCGACCCGTGAGAGCATGCCGGACACAGCCAGGCAAGGCTCTGCCCCTTAAATATCCCAGTCAGTGCATTGTCTGACCTGTGGTGGTACCACAGTCTTGTCCTTGAGGACTGACATTTTCTCAAGATCTGTGGTAGTGTCCTCTGGACTTGAAGTTTCTGCCTTACCTAAAGCAGGGGTTACCCAGTTACAGAGATTTTTTTTTTAACTCGTGAAGAGTGGTTTAAACGCTCTTCAAGACCTCAAAAAAGCAAAACTGCACATGCTAGAGAGATCAATGATACAAGGCCTACATCATCTAGACTATTTTCCTAGCTTCAGTTTGCCAATTTTTGGTCTAAAATTTAGGATTATTTGCCTATTCCAAGTAGAACACCCTGAGGTCAGTGGTCATGTAGTAACCAGAGGCAAGTATACCAGTGGAAACACAGGTAGTTCTCTTGGGAAGAAGGGACTGCCAGGTTCACCTGGGAGGCCTGGAATCACCTAAAGTGACCCACCCACTACAGGCTGCAGTAAATGAGGCTGGAAGTCTTCAGTATATTTTCATCCTGGGCAGTGTCTGCCAGGAATGGCATTTCAGCTGGAAGTTTTGCCTTTTGGATTTGCTGGCCCCAGTTTCTGCATGGGATTCTATTCCTGGGGCTTTGCACTTGGGTAAGTGTGTCTCCTTATGACTTGCAGCATCCTCTGGTTTGCAGATGACAGGGAAACTGAAGTAACTGAGTATTGAGACTTTGAACTTCAGGAAAGAGGACAAAGAGAAATCAGTGCTGGAATTAGTTATTCAAGCCATCAGGAACCACATGATAGAGAGTTCCAGAATCCCCATGCCCTTTGAGTCTCTATGGCCATTTTTCTTTTCAGGATTTTTTCCCTTGATGAAAACCATCTTCCATTTTCAAAGGTCAGCTAATGATATTACTGTATGTTGCGGTCCTTAGGAGGTGGGGCTATGCCCTGCCTGGAGTAGCTCATTACTGCAACGTAGCTCACTGCTGTGGTGTAACTCACTGCCCAGTGTATCTCACTGCTCTGTGTAGTTCACTGCAGAGTGTAGCTCACTGTCCCGTGTAGCTCACTGCCCAGTGTAGCTCACTGCTGTGGTGTAACTCCTTGGACTTTCTCAGGGTCTGTGGTAGTATCCCCTGAACTTGAAGTTTCTGCCTCACCTAAAGCAGGGGTAAACCAGTTGCAGAGATTTTCTTTAACTCATGAAGAGTGGTTTAAACACTCTTCAATACCTCAAAAAAGGAGCAAAACTGCACATGCTAGAGAGACCAATGATACAAGGCCTGCATCATCTAGACTATTTTCCTAGCTTCAATTTGCCAATTTTTAGTCTAAAATTTGGAATTATTTGCCTATTCCAAGTAGAACACCCTGAGGTTAGTGGCCATGTAGTAACCAGAGGTTGCTGCTGTGGAGAGCCATGATAGTTACTGGGCATGTTGTTGGTTATATCAGGGCAGACAGTGAACAGGAGTCTGCAAGCCAGCATCATTGCTCATTGGTTAGCCTTATCTACATATTATGTTCTGTACACCCAGCACAGCCCCAGTGACCTCAGGAGTTAATTTGGGATGATCAATCGGGAAGGCCCTGAAGGCCAACTGTAGGCCAGAGATGCAGTTGACAAACAGCCTTATAAGTCCTTCCTGCTTGCACATGTTCATCCCTGGTTTGCAGAGGAGGAGTCTGGTAAAAAAAATAACCAAGAAATCCAGGACCAGCTCTGTCATATCTTTGTTTCCTCCTATCTCGTCTAAAACATGTTGGGGGCTGAAAGCAGCTTGGTGGGCAGTAGCCTTATGTGGCCAGCTTCTGGAGTCTTGAGATATGCTGAGCTGATAGGAGCCAAAGACAATTGTCACTTAAGCTTTAAAGGCCGTGAGCTCCAAACAGATGACGTTGAAGCTTTCAGAGGAAGAGAACCAGTCTTTGCATTTGACGTTATGTTCTTGGCTTTTCTTTTTAACTGGCAGCTGAAAATGAGAGCACACCCATGCAGCAGCTCCTGCAGCACTTCCTGCGCCAGCTCCAGAGGTAATTCAACCCCATCTTCCTCTAGGAGTCTGAACTTCATATCCTCCACCTGTGTACACACCTACCACCTCCAGAAATCTCCACCCCAAGTTTCCTCCACCTGTCGTTATGCCCACATCCTCCAGAAGTCTAAGCCGCATGTCCTCCACCTGTACACACATCCGCCTGTAGAAGTCAAGTCTGAACCCCAAGTATCCCCCAATTTACATCACAGACACCCACCTCTGTAGACATTCCCAGCTCCTCTAAGGGTGGGCAAACTGCAAGTAAAAGACAGCGCTTATGCCAGAGTGCAGTTGGACCAGGATTTCTACTGGACTTGCATGTCAGGGATGGAGCTGGGGGACTGGTTGTAGCATATTTTTTATTGTATTCAAAATTCCTATCACAACTTTAAAATGCATTAAAATTACAATTTTTTTGTGATACTGAGGATTGAACTCAAGGCCTTAGGCTTGCTAAGTAATACTCTGACACTTGGAGCTATACTCCCAATTACTTTCTTTTTCTTTTGTATTTGTGATAGAATCTAACTTTGGGGCTTGCCTCATATCAAGACCCTCCTGCCTAACCACTTGAGATAAAAGTGTACACTACCATGTTTGTCTTATATTTTACTTTTGTAAGGCAGAGAAGGGGGGAAGATGGGGAATACTGGAGCTTAAATTCAGGGCCTGGACGCTTAGCTTTTTCTTTCAAGGTGGTGTTTTACCACTTGGGCCACAGCTCCACTTCCAACTTTTTATCAGCCAATTGAAGATAAAAGTCTCACAGGCTTTTCTACTTGGTCAGGCTTTGAACTATTAGCCTCACATCTCAGTCTCCTGAGTAGCTAAAGATTACAAGTATGAGTCACCCAGTGCCCAACTATTT